TAGTATATATATATATATATATATATATATATATATATATGCATGTATGTATTTTTAAGATGTCTTCAAAGTGGAGGGAAAGTTACGTATACTGACCCCCACTGCTAAAGGTGCAGGGGGCCTGTTCCCCAAGGACCTGTGCCTATAGTTAAACGTTACGTGCTTGTTGAAGAAAGACTGAAAGATTTCTTGGGTTTAAACCGTGACTTGTAAGATTTCATAAAACAAAAATGGTTTATATTGTTTAGACAGTGGATTGTATGAAGAACAACATTATCGAGTCCCACGTTTGGGGTCGAAAGAGCGTATAGCCTGAGCGTGTGGTGATCATGAGTCAAATTTATTTTACAGCACAAAACTAATGTGTGTCTGTATATACAAACACGCACACACACACACGTATATATATATAGAGAGTGAAATAAGGCTTGGTAACCCATACGCACTATATCCATGATTCTCTCTCTCTCTGAACGTCATATCTAGATTATTACGTATAAACCCATTACTTAATTTTCTAATACAATCCATTATGGCGTGTTTATAAACTTACGGATTGTGCTGCAACGTATTTTGTAAATCTTCGTTATTTCGCCTTTTATAAAGTTCGTGTATACTCCTCCGTCTGTGCGACTCTTTTCGATCATATTTTTAATCTTTATACAGAATATAATAATTTTATCACTTACTACTATGCTGTGAAGGCCCACACCCACTCTTAACAGATGTCATTTTTGTATTCAGCTTATGTTGCAAACATAGTTATTTTACTACCATATATATATATAAATGTAAAGTATAAGTTTTTAATTTCTTGTAAATAGTATCAAATTAATAAAATGTGTTGCTCAAATAACAAATATGTTAACCGTGTTTCAGATAACTAACCTTTCGTTTTAAAATGAAAGGTTCTTAATATTAGCATAAATATTTTTTTTATTTTAATCGACATAATACTGAAATAAGTAATATTTCCATAATTCTGAGAATCTGAGCTGATAAGAAATAAAGACACACATATATATATATACATGCATGTTGCATTTAAGCCCTTATTACATGTTACATTTATACATTATTTCTTTTACTTGTACCGTTTTCAGTGTAGTTTGTTTGTACGTAAATAATACGATTCATGACACCATTCAACTGTTGTGAATTTCGGGTTTCTCCGAAATTAAAGATATATTTTACTCTCACTCTTTACTCTCTGTCTATTTCTATTACTCCCCCCCCCCTCTTCTGTAAAAACTACATCAATTTCGCAAACCAAAACAAACATGCTGTGTATCACATTGTTGCCATATATTAAGATCCTAATTCCATAGTGTAAAACAGTGTTTCTCAACCTTTTCTTGCTCGTGGCTCCCTTTTGAGTTTGATTTATCTCTGTGGCCCCACCCTTCGGAGAAAAGCCACTTTATTCCCACACTGTTGATTTATAATATATTTATAATATTATTTTTACAATATTGTATTGTTTTTAAAAAATGTTGTTTATAACATAATGTTTACTTATACAAGTAAAAAATATTCTGTTAATTATTAACATTTTATTCAGTGCGGTCAGTGATAAGCGAAGATCACTTCCCTTCACAACATCAAGGCGGTTACGTATTTTTGATAGCAAATAAGTCACCTGACTAAAACCAGATTCAACCAGATGAGATATGGGAAAAGTGATAAAATACGACTTTGCTTTCTCCCAAAGCTGTGGAAACTTATTAGCTATTTCACTACTTATCCAGAAATAATGTTTGTCACGTTGGAATCTAGCTTGGGCTGTTGAAATATTATAGTCGGGCAGTGAAATTTCGGTGGCCCATTCAGAATTTACTGTGGCCCCCTAATTTTCCGTCATTCACGCGTGGCCCCCTGGGGGGCCATATGGCCCACGTTGAGAACCGCTGGTGTAAAACTGATCTTCAACAGTTTCGTACTATGTCATAGTTTCTTTATTCACAATAAAACAATGTACGTTACACTGTGAGTAAACCATATTACCTTATGGTTTACTCACAGTGTAACGTACATTGTTTTGTTTTAACAGATTGCGAGTCTAGCGCCTTATCCACCTGGCCATGCCGGGCCAAATGTTTAAATAAAGTGGCCTGAAAGTGTGTCTAACTGCTGTGTTTAGTACAGTGTAATTAAATAAATTCGAACTTCTCCGGCTGCAACTTTGATACAAGCATAATTTTTTGTTAACCCAGGTTTTATATAATTAGATTCCTTTAACAACAAGATATTATTTGGCTTTTAATATCAATGTAGATAAAAATATCTTAAGTTATACCAAACCGAAAGTCTTCTGGCAACATACAGGGCCAGTAATAAAATGTCCACAATGTTTAACCTTTCAAGATATGAATAGGTCATGTTCAAATGAGGTTCAATTGTGGATACGCTTTTAAATCTGATATTTCAATTTTTCAAACAGTTGCCAAACGAAATTACAGATGGATTTTAACTTATGATGAATAAGTTATTAAAAAATTTGTTGCCTATTTAAAGAAGTAATCTAAACGTGTGACATTACTATGCTACTGAGAAGTGCATCTAAACGTGTGACAATACTAAACTACTGAAAAGTGCATCTAAACGTGTGACATTACTAAACTTCAGAGAAGTGCATCTAAACGTGTGACATTACTATGCTACTGAGAAGTGCATCTAAACGTGTGACATTATTAAACTACTGAGAAGTGCATCTAAACGTGTGACATTACTAAACTACTGAGAAGTGCATCTAAACGTGTGACATTACTAAACTTCAGAGAAGTGCATCTAAACGTGTGACATTACTATGCTACTGAGAAGTGCATCTAAACGTGTGACATTATTAAATTACTGAGAAGTGCATCTAAACGTGTGACATATCTGAATTGCAGGCTTCATATAAACATGTGGCGTTTCTGAACTGCTGAGTTAGGCTAAACATATGGCGTTTCTAAGCTATTGAGAATTGCACATGACCCTGTAGCATCTCTAAACTACTAATATTTCTAACGTTTTCTTACCGTTAACCCACAAACAGAGGAAAGAACGCATTTAAAATAAAAGTAACATTCACCTTGCATTATTAAAATACTAGAAATTACTGATGTTAATAGACCTGCCACACAAAATTGCATGCATCATAAGCTACTTAAACCTACATTTTCTTTGACAGCTAATCAGGCTATAAAAAGTATATTCATAAAGAATTTAAAATTAAGGGTTCGAATGTCCTGTCGTTTAAGCAGTCGGAATATATCTATCCTTGTTTACATTGTTGTAATGAAACTAGAATTATGTTTTATATACGTGTATACTGGATTATAATAAATGAATAGTTTTTATATTAAGGATTTATGTATATTTAAGTAAAATGTCAAAAGGCGGTATGAGGCAGATACTCGTTACGACTCTCTGAGCTCTGAAGTATCTGAACACAATAGGACGAATGCCTGGCGCTAGAATAGGAATATTGTCTCTCAAGCATAAATTGTCAATTTTTAGTGAGTCAGCTTTTCACAGTCGTTTCCATAGTGATCATGCGTACCTTTTGGAATGTGCACAGGTATAATAAGCAGGCAACAAACAAGTAAAATTTAAGCTGTTTGTATAATTCAATATGCATCGTAGTCGTGGTGGACAGAGCACAGAGAGCCCATTGTGTAGCTTTGTGCTTAATTACAAACAAACAATTTATTTGCCACAAGTTCTTAAGCGTGTTCATGATCTTTTCTTCACTTTAGAAACATTTTAAAATTAAAATTATGAATGTTTGTAACAAATGAATGCAATGCGAAGTTAGTCCAGGAATGTAAGCTTATTAATCATTTATAGCGTGGTGGTTAGGGCGCTCGACTCGCAATCTGCATGTGTCGGGGTCAAAACCCGTCACTGAAATGCTCGCCCTTTCAGTCGTACGGGCGTTACAGTGTAACTACAAGATCATACCCAGCTCTGTTTACATGAAGAAACGTGTGTGTGTGTTCTCAATCTTATAACAGATTTTTCAATTTCCTTAATCATTAGTGATAGCGATATGATTTTTTGCCCGCTACAATATTTCCTGTAGATATTGTAATATCGACTTAGTCTGTGTGTGTGTGTGTGTGTGTGTGACATTGAGGCTAAATATAAAATTTAAAAAACAAAACAAATAATATTTGTTACATTTAGAATAAATCAATGTCTGATCAATTAATTTCACAAAAGATATGATGTATATATATATATATCTAAATATTTAGTAAAATTGTCTGTCATTTTTGACCTCATTAACAAGACCGGTTTCTCACAACTTAGAGAAATATCCCCCTTGAGAGTATGGCTACGACAGAGGGGGGACAAATCACGTTCAGTGGACACACACTGGATAAAGCCACCAAGGCAAAAGTTCATCTGGAGAACTACTATTCCAACCTCATTTCACAACATCTCGAGAGGAAAAGCAGGTAAAAAGTGGTCTTATTATACCTTCTTTGGTGTGCTAATTCACATTAAACAGCGCATTTGTCTTGGTTGCTTGAAAATAAAGTTTAGTTCTTTTGTGCGTATCTCATTCATTGTTAGATAAAAGAGGCTAAGATTGAAAAGTAAGATGAGCTTTTTAAGTTTACCATAAAGTTTATGTTTTTATAAAGCCAGTATTGACTGCAGTAGTTGAATTAGTACTGTATGTTACTGTATCACCAAATCTTCTGAAAGAAATATCATTATTTACTAAAGACCTAAGTGAATCCTCAAACAATTGAAATAAACTAACTTGACTTATTCATTTGTATATTTCAACATTGTTTTTACTTAACCACATTATATTGAAATAACTGTGCCATTTTGAACAAATGACTAATTGTTTAATAAAAATAAATATACTTGTGCAGTTTACATTTGTTTGTTTTCATATGTAGACATGAAAGGTTAGAGGAGACAATGAAGGAGGAAGGCCTTTCCGAGCAACAGGTAACATAGTGACCTAGTTTTATTTGTTATGGTTAAATATATTATCACATGTTAGACATGTTAACCTTGTTGCACATTGTCACTCCAAGCAAATCTTGTTGCAGTATTTAAAAGCTTGAGCACTTATATCATTCTTTAAGCTTCACAATATTTTTTTGTTCTTTCCATCTGCTTCATTTAAGTTTCTTTATGAATTAATGCTTAATGTATTTGCTGTTGTAGCTTTAGTTGCATGCCCTTGTTGCTAGTTACTTTGCATGAAGTTTAATTTCTAGATGCGAATGATTTAATAAGATGTTGTGTATCTTGACCTTATATCATTGTCTACTGCTGTTAGACCTTATTCACATACATACTTTTTCATCTGTTTGTTTTTTAAGAACGTACAATAAAAAGTATCCACACATACAATAGAATCATAGTTTAGACAGTGCTGAGTTGTAAATCATGACCTTGAAAACCTTGGTTTAGACTGCTTCCTTTTTTCTGATGTAAGTTATAATGTTTTTGTAAAAAGAGAAATTAGTTTGTAAATTCACCAAATTTGTATTAGTTACAGTTACATTTTTTAAACTTATATTTGTATAGTTTAATAAAACATTTTTTTTAGAATTTAAAATATCACTTACTTAAGTGCTTATTTTTTAAAAGTAGTAATTTCAAGGGGTCTTCCATTAATCTAGAAAAAGGAGTAAAATCATTAAAAGACGATATTCATAAAGAATATTTTCATTACAGCTTTGCTTTATTTAACAAGCTATTCATACTACTTCTCATTTAAAGGGACTGGTTTTGATAATATTAAGTAACTTTCCAGCTCATAAAAGCTATGAAGCATTGGTAGCTGCGTTTTCCAACAGGTTTGGAGTGACACACCAGAAAGATGTACTAAGAACAAAAGTTCCAAAACAGGGAACTGAAGAGACCTTAGACAAACTTGTAGAAGACTTGGAAGGGCTTACACAATTATCATACCCAGTTATGGAATGATGGATTCATTTTCACGTGACCAACTTAAAAATGCCATAACAGAAAAAGATATGAAAATTAGGTTGAAGCAAAATAGATGTACATCTATAAATGAAGCTCTACAATTGACAGTGGAATTTGAATCCATTAAATTTGCAAATAAACAACTAAAGACACCATCATGAAGTTATGGGATCATCAGATTGCATTGAATTGAAACATTAATTCTCTCTGACGATAGTCTAGAAAAACTGATAGAATTAGTTAAACAACTAGTTACACAGAATGAAGAAAATAAACCCCAAGACAATATATGTAACTTTAAAGGACATTGCCAGGAGCTGCAGACAAAAGCCTATAGAGAATAAGAACTCCTCTAGTGGATACTAGAAAGATCGAGCTTTTATAATGGTGGGAAATATGGCCATTACAACTAAGACTGTAAAGAAACAACAACTGTTACTAAGCCAAGGAGACAATACCCTAAAGGTTTGTCTATGAGCCCAACTAGATTAATGGAACAACAAAGAGCCACAGATCAAAAAGGCAGAAATATATGCTGCAACATTCTGCTAGGAATATTCCATCTACCCAAAATGAAATAAGAAGTTCATAATTTGAGAAAAAATCATCCATGAGTCCACAAGTTTAGTGATTGTAAACCTTGCATCTTGTTAATTGATACTGGTTCTACAGCTCAATTGTTCAACCTGATTTGATAATGAAAGGTAAGAAACTGTCTCCAACATTGATGTAAGAAAATGGATTGATGCAAATGACAAGTGGACATAATGTTTCAACAAAATGAAAGCTCAAAGTTACTCTTATTGTATGAAGTTTATCTGCAAATCGTAAGGTGTGAATAATTCAGATTGAGTAAGAGAGTAGATACATGGATGCAATGTTAGGCTAACTTCAAATAGCTTCACAGTCTATGGCCAAGAAATCCTTGTGAACTACATGACAGTTGCTACACCAGAGGTTGAACTATCTGTAACAACAAGGAGGGCAGTCACTGTACCACCAAGAAGTGAAATACTCATACCAGAACATGTTAAGGATAAATTTATATCTAGTGACTGTGCCATAGTAGAATCAAAAACTCCAGCATGTATTGATGGATGAATGAATGTTGGATATACAAGACTGTTTAGTGTAAGCATTATTATTTAGTTCATTTAGTGATCTAATATTTAATTATTATTTAGTTTATATAACAAGAGTGTTAAAGTTATTATTTTAAACTATTTCATTATCTAACTCGGTAAGAATCGTACATTGTGTGTGTAGTTCAATTGTTGTAGTATTGTTGACATCATCTTTCTCGACTCCTCTGAGTTTTTCTTGCTATGTGAATATCGTTACATCATAGTGTCTCCTAGTTTGTAGAAAGTTTGAGACCTCAGTTGGGCAAAGTATATTTATAGGTGACCAAGCGAGTGCAAGTCAAGTGAAATTCAGTCAGGAAAAAAAGATTGAAAACATGAAGTTAGCCACTGTGTAAGTGATTACCCTTAACGGATGATTTCTATAGTGTGTTTCACAGCTGTATTGTAACAACAGACATAGGAGAAATAATTTGTCTTGTCCATTGGGTTCTAAAATATTTGAACCCTTCTGTGTGGACTTTGACAAAAAAGGAAACAATTATTTAAAATTCTGGATGCAACTATAGTAACCCACAGGGTAACATAAGTGAAATTATTGCAAATTGTATAGTAAGAAACAGAATAGAGAAAAATAGTTCTTGTTGTCAACTGGATTCTAAAGTAATTGAATCAGTCTGTGTGAACTTTTGACAAGAAAAAAGAATTATTTAGAGTTTTAGATACAATTGTGAGATTCTAAAGTGTAAAGAATTATTGTACATACGTTTGACTTGTTTTGACTATATTATTTTAAAACAAGTGGATTGTGTGCTGTACATTTATTGTTTGAATTGATTGCTAACAAGTCACAGACACCTACTGTAAAATAATCCCAGCCCACATATATAATACGCTAACAATGAACCCATGTGGATCTGAAGAATGAAAATGTCATCATTAGGGCCATAAAAATCAAGTCAGGTGTGAAACTTTACAGATGAACAAAGAACATCAAAAGTAATCACCTTGGAGACAAGATGTATGAAATATGATGTCAAATACTCAAATAAAGACAGCTTACCACCTCATTTACAAGAGCTATATAATCAGAGCTGAGGAGGTATTATAGCTGATCATTGCCACAGGTTACATGATTTATTTAATCAGTATCAAAATATCTTCTCAGGTGAACCTCATGACTTAGTTCAAACATATAAAATATCTCATAAAAGTGTTAGTGGAGATGTAGCCCTATTACATTTGTTAGCCAGAGACTCCCTCTTACAAAACAGGCTGAAGCTTTCAAGGAGATAGAAGCCATGAAGGAACAAGAAGTGAGAGAACAGAATACTAGTCCTTGAGCAATATCGTTTGTACTTGTGAAGAAGAAGTATGGATCCACAAGGTTTTTGCCTAGACTACCAGAAAGTGAATGCAGTCACAAAGAAGGATTTCTGGCTATTGCAAAAGATTGACTCAACTGTGGATGCTCTATCTGGATCAGTATGATTTTCAAAATTGAACCTGAAGAGTGGATATTGGCAAGTGCAAGTCAAAGAAGTCAGTAGAGAGAAGACAGCTTTTACTACAAAAAATGAATTTTGGTAATATGTTGTATTACCATTTGGATTATATCATGCACCTGCTATATTTCAGTAACTCATGGAGCATGCTTTCTATCTGAATTACTTGGGTGATATAATCACACATGGGAAAACCTTTGATAAAGCTTATCATTGGTTAAGGAAAGTTCTGAATTGGCTGAGGAAAGAAAACCATGAGCTTAATCCCAAGAATTGTGCAGTATTTTGCAAACAGGTGAGTTTCCTGAGACACATAGTCAGCAGAGAAGGTAATATGTGTACAAATTCATCTAAGATTGAATCTGTTCAGAATCGGCCAACACCAAGAAATTCATGTAATACAATTTCTTGTTCTTACTGTTGTAATTTTGTAAAATCATTTTATGACATAGGTTATAGAAATTACCTGAAACTGAAATATAGTTACAATTTGGTGAAATAAAATGGACCCAAAACCCCATAGATGAAATAAATTTTGTTGGACAGCGAATTGTGAACAAATGTTCAATAAACTGAATAAAGAATTAACTACTACTGCTGTATTTTAATTCCCAAATCTTAAAGATCCACTCATTTTAGGTACAGATGATAGTGATTTTGCAGTGGAAAGTAACATGTGAATGCCATATGCATATATATCAAGGCAATTAATGCAGCAGAAAGAAGGCATTTTACTGCTTGGAAAGAGCTTCTAGTGTTGTTCAAGCTGAAGTCACAAATATTTATATTCCAAACAGATCACGCAGCCATGGGCATCTGCAGGGGAGGGTGGCAAGGGGACAACTGCCCCCATGGAAAATGAGGTATATAATTCTATTTTTATTCAGTCAGCATATGTATATGAATTTACAATTTTTTATTTATTTACTTATTACACTTAATTTTCAATTCTAATAAAAGTCACCAAGTTTGTCAACAGCTTTGCATAAGATCTCTAGATACCATAGCAGTTTCATGGATATTGGACATGGCAATTTTCACTCAGGTCATCAAAGAGGCCAATGTGGTCTTGCCAACATCCCTTGAGCTCTGACACAGTGTGATTGTGGTCAACCTGTTGCCATCTGCTGGTAATACTGGCAGCAGGTCATCAAGAGACTGACACAGTCTTACAGAAATCCCATGACACAGTATGGGCAAGGAAAGCAAACATTTACTATTGTGGAATATATATAGCTGCAAGTGTGCAGTATGGCTTAAACTAACCTTACAAATATTAAACCCATCAAATCTGACTGTGGAAGCTTGCCTGTTCTCTTGACCGTAATGGCAAAACTTTGAAGGCAGGCTCATCATCCCTTGATTTTGACTTTGTCCCATCCCTGGAAAAATTTCTGTGGATGCCCATGCATGCAGCATT